GTTTTGTACGTAGAGAATTCTTTGTTCTAGGCTACGGTTCAACAATACTTCTAGTGCAAAAATCTTATTGCTCATAGGATTGGACTTATTTTACAATACTTTTACAAATGGAAATTTGGGGCTAACATTGGTGTAAATAGCCAAGATGTTCGATCTTTCCCTAGCTATAGATGAGGATATCGTCAAAGTAAACAACTACAAAAGTTTCAATGAAAGGGCAGAGTACCTGATTTATTATCCTCATGAACATGCTTGGTGCGTTAGAAGTACCGAATGACATGACTAGCCACTTGTAGACTTCGAACGGTGTTTTGAACATCATTTTCCATTTGTCCGGATCGAATACGGATCTGATGATAGCCACTTCAAAGACGATTTTTGAGAATATGGTCGAGCTGGATAACTCGTCGAGCATATCTTCCAATCATAGGCAGGTGGTAGGTTATATCGCACACCTTTAGACAAATGAAATGGACCACAAAACAAGTATACAATATGTCCAAATATCGTCTTTCCAAGTAATAAAGTTGTAAAATACTGGATTATCGTCCACGGAGATTGTAGCAAAAGTCTAATGATAGTCCAATGAAAGAGATGATTTCAGATGATGAATTTTGAAGACTTCAGTTTGATATTCAGGTGATTTAATACAGATAACAGAATAAATAAGGATAGCAAGGGTGTAAGACTTCTGGTGAGACTCAAACGCAAATTCCAGTAGCCAATGCTGTAGGAATGCTACAGCAAACAGTGTTTCATAACTTAGTTCTACCATCTATTTTGAAGGTATTCCTCTCGGACTTCACCATTGCACTATATTATAGCTTTCAACCCATATCTCTATGTGGTATCCAGACCAGGTATAGTGACAACATGGTGTCTTCAAAATATATGGATAAACAAATCTTTTTGTTAAAAATCACTCTCTCGAGTCGATTCCTGTATCATTCAAGTTGGCGTGTGTTCTAGATAGTTCATCTCTGAATCTATCGCACTTTGACACTTTTAAAGAGTGACCAACCCGTCGGGAATTAAGTTTGAAAGACATAAATGACAAGTCTCATTGCCGGTAACTTTCTCAAGTCTACCTCTTATATCATTCAAGTTGACATGCATTCAATGGATTATCTCTAAGACCATGACACTTTAACACTTTCAAAGTGATCAACTCGTCAAGAATTGTACTTGGTTTTTATAAAAAACTCGAATGAAACAATAGAACCTCGTTTATGAAAACACTTAGTTACTTCCTTTTGGTTTGAAAATCTCACATTTTCGTCTCCCTCCCAAGCTATGAATTTAGCTACTCATAACGAAATATAAATAACAAGTAAAGTAAATAACGAAAAGTAAAGACATAAATGTAAATTCCGGAAAAGAAATGACGGAATGTAAATAACAAGAAATGTAAAGAGGCGTAATGTAAATAGGGTAAATTAGATGACGGAAAATTAAAGATGAAAAGTTAAACAAGAACTTGGATTTCTTCACAAGATTGTGTTTAAAAATCAACTTAGAGAACTGATTTTGAATCTTGGATGCTTACAAAGGAAGCCTTGCACCCYTTTTTATACACAAAAATATCATAAAAGACAAAAGTGGTGCTTAAAGGTTAATACCCAAGAGGTAAACCACACAAGAACCCAAAGTACAAGTTAATTACAATAATCCCACAAAAGTTTTAATAATAGATTTCTAACAAAAGTTAGCAGCTCCAGCTGTCTTCCAATATGTCCAAAAAGGCAACAACTTAAATCAATAAGATCTTCAAAAAGTCAGCAACTTAATCAATAAGATCTTCAAAAAGCCATACAAGTGTCAGCTCACTGCTGCTCCAATGCTGCAACACCAAACAGTTAAGCAATATTTTCCATTAGATTCCTCCTTTGAGTATAAACAAGTCAACCACAAATTTTAGTTTCATAATAATAAAGAGACAAATAAAGTAATAAAAAAGACTCAATATAGAGATAAAAGGAAAACAATCTAACTAAGAATATGTAAAATAAGTGCTTTATATATTGAATTCTCAACATATATCAATAGGAAAACGACAGTTGATAATGATCTTATTTGTAATAGTGTGTGTATGTGTATGTATATATATATATATATATATATTATGAAAATGTTCAGAAAAACCCAACAAATTGTTTCATTTTGCATGGTTTAGTCCATAAACTATTTTCTTGAATAAAAAAACCATTAAACCTTTTTATTTTAAATGATTAAGTCACTGAACTATTTTTTTTAAACAAAAAGACCATTAAAATTTCTCATTTTGATTGATTAAGTCCTCGAACAATTTTTAATAAATAAACCACCACACTTTTAATTAGTTAGCTACACCATTTCAACCCAAAAACAGTTACATTGATCGACTACTAAAAGTTCGATGATTTATTTATTTAAAAAAAATTAGGGTCTTAATCATTCAAAATGAGAAAGTTTAATGGTTTTCTCGTTCAAAAAATAGTCCAGGGACTTAATCGTTATAAATGAGAAAGTTTAATAGTTTTTTCATTAAAAAAATAGTTTAGAACTAAACCATTCAAAATAAGGAAGTTTGTTGTGAGTTTTTTAGACTTTCCTTTAATATGACTAATTTTAGTTAATAAATTGGGTAATATGTATATATATATATATATATGTATATATATATATATATATATATATACATAGGTGAGGATAAAATACAAACTAAGCTATTTGTCAAAATGTGAAAATCGTCGATTTCATTGTTTATTTTAGTGAAATAAATCTTGAAATTACTGAATCGTATTAACAAATATATTATACGTAAACCTTTAATTGATAGTTAATATTTCAATTACTATCATCTTTTTGAACGGTATACGAAATTACTATCAATTTGAATTCACAATAACAATCTTGATGAACGGATATAAGATATCTAACGTCAAATATTTCACAAAGTTATTATGCGAGAGATATAAACTTTAAACCATAAATATGCAACAAATAACTCATTTTGTTTAATATAATGCAAAAAATAAAAAATAAATCGTGCACTTGATAGGCAATGATTGACGAAAAGATGGCAAACAACGTGTTGATAACGTGTTATAGAATAACTGAAATAAAACAATAGTAAATAGATAAAAGGAACTTGTAATTTTCATTAATAATACGCTCTTTAAATAAGGATAAATTACATGTAACTAATCATGATATATCAGTCGTAATCCAATTCCATTTATATCGTCATATCCATCTGACAATGACATAAAAAGTTTTTTTTATTTATTTTAGAGAATACTAGAAGAGTACTCGTGCAATGCAACGAGATGCATTTTCATTTTAATATTTTATTTTATTTCTAGTCTCTGTTAATATAATACAGTTATATGGTTTTGAGAAAGATAATGTTTTTAACTTTTGAATAAAAATAAATTTAAAGATATCATAAAAAATTTAAAAAATATATGATATTAATATCAAATTAACTATTAAATTTTTTTTTACAATTTCTTTAATTCAAATTTTTATTATAATTTAATTTAAGTTTAATAGCGAAATAATTTATTTTTGACTTAACGATATAATTTTTATAAAGATAATGATTATCCTAATTAAATTTTAGATTTTTTATATTTAAAATAAGATGTTTATTCTATGTTTGATTATATTTATCTGCAATTAGTTATATAAATTCCAAAATAGAGCTTTAATAAGTTATACTTACGCACAATTTACTTGTAGTCTTAAATTTTAAGTCATATGCATCAATAAACAATACTTCATGTATAAAAATGATTTTTAAGAGTTCTTATCAACTGTTTTATAATATAATATAGATGTTAGAGATTTAATAAATTAAAAATTGTTTTCAATTTATTAAGGGAAATGTCAAAAAATATCCAAAAACTTTCTCATTTTAAATAGTTTAGTCCATAATTTTTTTAAGAAAAAACCTATTAAACTTTCTATTTTAAATAATTAAGTCGCTGAATTTTTTTTAATAAATAAATCATTGAACTTTTCAAAACTGATTATATACATCATTTTAATCCGAAAAAACTATCTAAAATCGACTAAGAAGGTTTTAAAGCAACAAAAATAAACTTAAATTGGTTTTATTGTTCCCAATCCTGTGTCATTCAAACCTCTCGTCGCCTTATCATCGTTTACTCTCTATGATCGTTGTTGGTCCCCTGCCATCGATCTCACTTTTGATTATTTTTCGGTTCTCCATCTTTTCTAATTTGTCTATATGTGATCCATTAAATTGTTGTAAAAGATGGATAATTGAAAGAAAAAAAAAACATATCAAAAAAAGGAAGCTCGATGACAGGGTGAACGACGATAACAAACAGTATAAAGAACACACAACACTGGGGCGACGAGGAGTGGCGAGGGGGAGTAATGTCGTTGTGTGCGAAATGTTTGAATGACTTAGAATTTTAGAACAGTAAAATTGATCTATGTTTTTATTTGTTTTAAAAACATTGCTAGTCGATTGCATGTAACTTTTTTTGAGTTAAAAAATATAAGTGATCAATTTTTAAATATTTGATGGTTTATTTAGGGGTTGTTTGTTTACCTCTTAATAGTTTCATTAAGAGACAACCTTTGAATCTTTAAGAGATGAATCTTGTTTGATAAAAAAAAGTCTTTTTTTAATGGTTTTAAAACTCTTTGAATGATTTTGTATCATAGACCTCCCTTAATGATTCAACACCCTAATTTCATGGTAAACAATTACAGAATAATTATATTTCATTTTACACTATACCATGAGAGTCTCTCAATTATTCTGATTATTTAATCGTTCTGTACCAAACCATTCAGCAATCGTCAAACAACTCCTTGGTCATCTAATGTATTATAATTTAAAAATGAAAAAGATTTAATAAATTTTTTAATAAAAAATATTGTTAAAAAATTTAATTACAGTTTAATTGTTAAAATAGTTTTAGGAAGTAAATTCATTGGGTTTTCAATTATTCAGTTTATTACTAAAAAATAGTATTTCCAGCAATTTGGGCAAGTCAAAGGTATTTCTGCCATAGCCGTCGTTCCACCTTCTTCAGAAGGAACAATCAAACGTGTGTTTGAGCTGCAGCTGCACCCAATTTACAGAGAAGATGAAGATCACGGCGTTGCTTGTTCTTAAATGCAATCCCGATGGATCGTCGGATCCGGTGATCCTAGCAAATGCCACGGACGTCAGCCATTTCGGTTACTTCCAGAGGTCTAGCGTCAAGGAATTCATAGTCTTTGTTGGTCGTACAGTCGCTAAACGTACGCCTCCATCGCAACGTCAATCCGTTCAACACGAAGGTAGCTTTTAAATTCTTCAATTTCTTCAACTTTTTCTGTTTTGTAGTATGTATCTTCGATTATGAATTCTAGTTGAATCGGATCTGCGTTTCACTTCAGCGGCTTGAATTCTAAGAAAAGATTGGGCTGAATTTACTTTATTGGTCTGATTGAGAGTAATCAATTTGAGAATTTGTTTATTCTGTTGCAGTATATGAAATGGAAATTTAGAGTCAATCCGTTCAACACGAGTAGTTTTTCTCTTCTTCTTCAAATTTAATTCCAGTTTTGTAGTTCATTTGTTGGATTTCAGTTTCAATTCTGTGAATCCAAACGGATCTGCGTTCCTCTCCAAGGGCTTGATATCCAAGGAATGGATGGCCTACTTTTGCTTTATTAGTCGTGTCTGAGATGAATCAATTTAAGAATAATCCACCATAGGGATTAGGAAAAGGAAGTTTGAAACCTGAAATTAGAAGAACCTCCATCTTCCGGAAATGCATTTCTCTTTTGAATTGATAGGTTTGAAGTTCTGTTTGCTGAATGCGAGCAACCTTGGATCCTAATTTCAATTTATTTATCATGACCCTCAAAGCATATCAGAGTCGAGAACTGGACCATGATGGGACCTTAGCTCCTCTATCCACAATCCTTAAATGGCTGAATGAGCTTTTTTAAGATATAAGTTGCAAAGAGAAAGTTTCAGTTAAATCTAGGGCGGTGTAATGATGTATGGTCTTAAATATTCTTTGCTGAGTGATAATAACCTGAACCCCTTTTCATTGCTTTTGTTGATTGTGGCTTTCATATTATTGGATAAACATTGATGCACTGCTCTGTGAACCCTTCCTATAAAAGAGAAAAGTTGCCCCCTTATCTATTACATGTTATTCTGTGCGTTGAAATCTGTTCATTGAAGTTTGAATCAGCGCTTACCATTGTATATTCCTTGATTTACCGGGACTTGTATACATTTAGGTATTACTGCAATAATCTATTACATATTTATTTGTGGACCAGGGTTTTAGAATGTGGAAAGTGTAAGGATTGAAGTTTTATGCTACGTGTTCATGAATGATGCTTTTTTAGTATGAATTTTGATGAATGGGAAAGTAATATTTTATTTGTTTTTCTTGTTAATCAGAATACAAGGTGCATTCCTACAATAGAAATGGTCTTTGTGCTTTGGGCTTTATGGATGATGACTATCCCGTTCGAAGTGTGTTTTCACTTCTAAACCAAGTAAGCTCATAGAATCTTCATCTTCTTTTGTTTTCATGTATCTATTTGATGCTTGACCCATTGAAGTTTGTTTCCTCAAGTGCCAACCTTTTGAGTTTTAATTCTAGGTGTGGTTGAGTAGCTTATCCTTAATTGAGATCTTTTAAGAATATATTTTATTTTAATGAGTGTTTAAAAGATTTACCCGTATCTTGGAGATACTAATCACTACATATGTACTACTCAGCTGACCATCTCTATTCTCTCAATCATTGGATATTACATTTAGGTTTTCCTAAAGCAATCATAAGTGTCCACCATGGGCAGACCTATAAAGGCATAGAATGGCCTGTGCCACCGCTTCATGGTCATGTAGTAGTCGGAAAAGATTACGTATTTGGAGAGTGCCCCCAGAATGTTCTATTGTGTGCCCTTATATTTCTTAAAACTAAACTTATGACAGAAGTTTGTGGTAGCCAAGTTGTTTTACATCTTGGGATTGAAGGTTCATTCTTTGAAATGGTGTGAGTTCGAATATTCCATTTCGCAAGTTTTTCTTTTTCAACTTTTATTTTTAGTTTTTTCTATGGCTTTTGCTTTTTGAATTTTTTTGAAGAGAGCGCGGCGAGAAGGCTCAAACACAGGACCTTCCCTTGCAAATGCAAGGAACAAACCAATAGATATATGATGATTTTGTGTGAAAAATTCTATAGCTTTCATCCATATAGTCAAATGGTCCCACCACTTGAGATAAATTCCTTCGCCTTCTAGCGTCCACTATTCATTTTTGGACCATCCCCTTTAATTGTTCGCTTTCCTAAATCAGAAAGATTTAATACCCTTGTTCATAGTTGCGAAAAGCGCGCCTAGGCGCTGAGGCGCATAAGGTGCAAGCTCTTGGGCTTTTTGCATGTTGAGGCGCACTAAGGCGCCGGCCCTCTGCTGCAGCGTTGTATGGGCCTAGGCGTGCCTGATAAAGATTTTCATAAAACCAGTCAAACAAACCCTAATATTAAATGACTTGTCTCTGACTTCTACAAAAAAAGAGAGTAATTAAATAAGTCAAACCCTAATAATCAAGCCTTATAATCTCCTAGACTTCTACAAAGAAAGAGTTATAGATAAGTCTTAATATCAAATATGTCTAATTCAATTCTCATGCCCTAGAACTTCAAGGCTCCCTATAGATACGTCCTATACCTTATACTTCTCCCTCATGGCTTTAAACCAAAAACTTCTTCCTCTGGGTTTTAAACTCTTCTCTCTTGCTACATTGGAGGCTTGTACTTGCTGCATTGTAGGCTTACACTAGTCAAGACTTTTGATGTTACTACTTTTTGGAAGTTGAACTATGTTTTGTAGAATGCTATTTGAGTTGTGTATAACTATGTGTGTGTGTCTATATATATATATATATTTTTTTTTATAAGATGCGCCTTGCATTCCTGAGGCACGCACCTCACGCCTGCATCTTGGCCCGAGGACCCCTTTGCGCCTAAGTGCGCCTTGAGCCTTTAACAACTTTGCCCTTGTTAATGGTTTATGAATTCAAAGCTATAAGTCTCCATTACTTGTAGTAGTCTTTTTAATGCCCTTTTCATCATTTAGTCAAACATAAAAGTGTCAACATGACGTATCCTACTCTATGACAATCCCAGGGCAGACACCTGATGCGAGAAACTGAGTTCACATTTAAATGGTCTTTGCCGTACTATATCTTATGCTCATTTGTGACATCTATATCTTTTAAAAACCTAAGCTATCTTTAGATTCTTGTGAATATTAACTATTTTCTATGCTAAGCTAAGGGATTTTGTACCTATTTATCCACCATCTTGTTTTCTTGTTTACGGGCCTTTGACTTTTTGATAACTCAATACGACAATAACCTCTTTGCACCATATTGCAAGTCGCTTCTTCTGATTTCAATTAATTTCCTTTCTCATCATGTATTTCTCATTTTAAATAACATCACATAGTTGTAGGTTCTTTTTAACTGCTTTAATTGTTATCAGTTGTTTCCAACTTCTACCCACCACTAAGTTTCTATGTTCTTTATCTGCTTTTCTTAGTCTGAGATTGACTCTCCTTAAATGTTGTCTAGGTATTAGACGAGTACCAAAAGAATTTTGGTGATTCTTGGAAAGCTGTTCAAACAGATTGCAGTCAGGCATGGCCATATTTAGATGAAGCTTTGACCAGATTTCAGGTTTTAGTTCTATATTTATTTTCATTTTAGAATCCTCAGCAAGTCTTGTTCTGTAAGTTGATGCTGAACATAAACCTTTTTAAAGTGATGCCGTCTGACTTGTTTTCTTTTTTACTTGATTACCTTCGAACCATCAGGATCCTGCCCAGGCAGACAAGCTGCTGAAAATTCAGAGGGAGTTGGACGAAACAAAAATTATACTTGTAAGTGTTGACTTCAAACCAAACCAATTGTCATTGTGTATCTTGCATGTGAGGGACTTGTCAGGTTTGTCCATCATTATTGATGTCTTTTCTATCAGAACTGTATTTAGACATAATACTGCTACTGACTAAACCTTTTTGGTAGTTCACTTTGTTGTGATGACATCAGGTCTAGTAGGCTCCTATGCTTTTCAAAGCAAAACATTATGACTTATAAAGCTAATTTTGAAATCTTAAGATTCTCTTCAATGGAGATAGGCTACATCTATGAATGGTTCTTATAAATCACCCTTGAAGACTATTTTCTCTATTGTATGCAACCCTGAACATTCTTCCTCTCACCTAAATCAGCACTGGACGAGCTTATATTTCTGATTCATTATACTGTATGCTAGTTCTTATACAATGCCACATGTACCACTTATTGGGATTGATACCATCCCTTCCCATGAAGGTTACTTAGGTGAATTTGGTTCCATAGTTTTTCCCTTTCTTTTCTCTCTCATTATTTTCAAACAGTCAACATCCTGCCCTTAAATAATCTCTTTGGCATTGCATCATTATTGCTCATGTTTTTTTGAAAGGTAGTTATCAGGTGGAAATGGAACTGATGGCTTTATTTTTGAAAGATCTATTGTACTTACAGAAGAAGAATGCTTAAAGCTCTCACATGTTGATGAAGAGGACATTGTCGAGGGGTTCTTACTATTTATGCAGCCTCTAGGATCAGAAGTAACATGTGCTTCAACTAGTGATTATCATGCTTATCGGAGTCGTTTTGTATGGCCATCAATTATGGCCAAATATATTAAGAAATGTTCATTTTCTTGTTTGTAGCTTGATTAGGCTTGGAAAAGAAGATTGCCTGCAACTGACGAGCGTACATGAGCAGAGGTTCATGACAAGAGTTGTCATGGAAAAACTTGATACCCAACTGATGATTCTTGGGGTTTGGAGTCTTTGCATGTCTGATGAAAGCGTAAATGAAAAGTTGTGGGTGATAGTTAATTGGGGTCGATGGAGAAGAGCTCGTTAACTCACTTTAAGATGGCTTTTTTGGTTCTAAATCTATTACAGTGGACAGAAACCTGGAAGATGCTATAGCATAAGAGCAGTAGTCTACACCACTTAATTAGAGATCTTAGTCTAATGTAAACTTGGAAAACATGGAAGTATAATCAACCCTCATAAATATGGACCAGTTGGGTCACAAACTTAAACACATTAAAACACACTAAAATACACCAAACTCTAATACGGACGACTTTCACTAACACTCCACAAGTTGAAGCATGTACATGCCCAACTTAAAGGATGTCCGAATTGATCTAAGCCTTCTAGAGTGGTTACATGATTCATGAAATATTCCAATTTTCTGGTGAAAGTAGCATGTGTGGGGATTGTGTGGAAGAGAGGAAAGTATTGAATGAGATTATCTGCATGCAAGTTGTATTACAGATAATCAAGCATAGTTGCCCTACTTTTTGTCCAAACTGGTTGATTGGATGTCTGAGGTAGCGCGTAATGGGGCCCTTCTAGTAGGAAGGAGGACGTTGAGATAAGGAACTTCACTTTGACGCTGGGTACACTTCCTCCATCTTTGGAATTGAATCAATAGTAGCAGAAGGAGGCAAGTAACTGATTAAGGAAAGGCATGAGTTTCCATTTTCCAAGTAAGTTATGGAAAAAAGTTCTTATTAGCTTTCACCCTTTCTCTGCTTCAAAAGGAGCCGAAGATATTTAAAGAACTTAATACTTTTTAGACGGCCCTAAAGAAAGAAGTACAGGAGCTGAAGTCGATTCGCCAACAGAGAAGGGGGGTCGGACATGAATACGATTTGCGGACATGAAACATAATAAAGGCAATTGAAGTGTACAAACTAGATCCACACTTCAGGCACTCAAACTTCATATGTTTGAGTTCATGGCAATAGTTGCATTCAACCCAAGAGATATCGTTAGTCAATGACCTCTTTTTCCTTACTTTGACTAGCCTTGCTTGCTTGTCAGATGCTATAAAAGCTGAGTCTTCTAGAGAACTCCTGGGAAGCCTTGGACCTGATAGCATCTCATGCAGCAGACAATATTTAGACAGATTGTAGAGGTCCCAAAATGGTTGTGAATTTTAGGGCATCCCTGCATTTCCCAAAATGCAAGTCTTCAACAACCTTCTTGAAACATGTTATGTATTCCTGCTAGCAATGATAGGACTGGGAGTAAAAATGAGCATGAGATATACTCAAATGATAGGGCTTCCATGGTTTGTGCATAATGGAATCGTGTTAGAATGCTATCTGACCTCAATATAAAGTTTAATGATAGTTGGGTGAGAACTGATAGCATTATAGTATTTATTTCATAATTGTGAATTTAGGTGGCTTATTCTATTTATATGTTTTTTTAGTTAGCAAAGGTAAGTTCTTCTATTTGTTTTTTTCTTTTCCTCCAATTCCAACTAGGGCTTTATTTATCTATGTATAGTGATCTACTCACCTAGTTATAATATATAACATTCTCGCCTTCCCCAAGTCCACCACAAACCAGTTAACCCACCATCAGGCCTGTGGAAGCATCATAAAAACATCATGTGCTTCGACCTGTACTGACACAAGTGGTATAGCAAACAAAAATCCACCATTGAACTTCTTTTTGTTGTTATTTCTTTCCCATGGTTTACAGGGTTATGAACTTACAACCAGTTATAATCTTCTACATAAAGTGAATATATAATATACATGATTATTACATATCATAACACAACCACCAAAATAATATAAGTTCCACAAATTATCATAAGGCTTGGAGCATGAAGTCTCACATTCTAGGATCTCTCCTCATTCCATGATCATCATAACACCTGAGATGGCTAGAAATTACACTAATCGAGAGGGAGCAACAAACTGCTAACAAGTATTTATATGACACCGGGGAGTTTGGTACATTTAGTGGCTCAGCTGCATCTCAGGCATAGATGTCAATTGAAAAGTAAATGAGTGTCACTGGAAACCAGCTAGAGGACATCTCGGTAACAACTTTAACATGTGGTGAACAAATACATATTTAAGGTTAATTTCAGATCTAAGGTCAGGTTCATATGATACACAACATGCTAAGTTTTCTTGTGCTTTTTCTTTCAACTTGTACACCAGATCATTTGTAACTTCTGATAAGGGGGCGCCCATGTCTAGCACGCTTTCTGTCAACCTTAATACCAGACACGTTCCTACTTCAACTACAGGGGGTGCCCATGTCTTTATCATGCTTGTTATTTCGTCTTTCTAAATGATTTTAGTTGTCATGCATCAAGTAAGAGAATTCATAAACTGCTCAAAGCAGCTGGACGTTCGTTATAAGCAGCTGGACATTAGTTAAAAAGTTCTTGGCTTTCAAAACATACAACAGGTGTTAACTAACTGTAATAAATCGGGCTAAAATTATAAACATTGATAGTAAGCCTTACAAAGAAATAAATAAAGGGTCAGGAGAACAGTTCCATGATATCTGCAATTCAAGGTGGATTAGGAATATAGTTGGAATCTTGGAGATACTTCAGGTATCTTTTGCTGCATATTTTTAATGTTTAATAGTTCCTTTTGATATATAAAGATACTTTTGTTACAGCACAAGACTATCGATAGCGTACTTGAAAGAGGTGAAAAGCTGGACAGTTTAGTCGAGAAAAGTTCAGACCTCAGTACAGCTTCACAGGTGTGAATTATACTTCATTTTTTTCTAATCATATGTAGCAAGCAACTGGGACTTCATATTCTATTCATTCTCAATCAACACGTGCACATACCTTAGTACTCTACTTTTACATTCAAATTTGTTTAAATTGTCTCATCATATTAAACCTTGGTCATTAACTAAATGAGCCTTTTAGCCAAGGATATGAAGGTTTATACAAATGTTAACGAAACGCATAATTCTGTCCTCATTCCTATCTGGCAGATGTTCAAAATCTAACATATGCATCTGTATCCAGTGCATATCAAAAGGATTTGTAGTTATCACAAATCCAGTTCTAATTTATTCAAATATCTGAATCTGGTATGGTAATTAAAGATTTGTATCCCCTTATCCAAAAAAAAGTCATGAAAAACTACAGTAATACATAAAAATTATAAACAGGAAGCATGGTGCGTAACCCTTAAACTTTTAGGTTCTTAATGAACATGCATTACCAATAAACCTTTAAAATTAAAAGGTTTTACATAATTTACTATGTATCAAAAGCATAACGACTAATCGAATAAGTAAGCAGATATCTAAGCGAGCATATACCAAAACAAACTGAATGCATAATTACCGTATTTCTAATCCAGTTACAAAACTTACAATCTAAATACATGTTATTTAATATTGGGAAAATGACAAAACTAACCACACGAATCCCCCCGGGGGCGATCCGTACATTTCAGGGGGCGATCCGCCCATTTTAGTTTTTTTTTGTCTACTTGGGGCGAGCCACGTCATCGGATCGCCCCCGGGGGCGATCCAGGCTTTAAGTATTTTTTTTAAAAAAATTTTCTTTTTTTTTTGTAATACCAATTTCACTATAAATACCAACCTCCTATTTCATAAATTTTCACACCTTCCCTTTCATTTCTCTTCTCATATATTCTACTCTCACAACCCTTAACCCATTAAACACAATAAATCATCAAAAAAAAAAAATCACGTCAAAGTGATGATGTTTGTATGTATCTTCGAAGTGGCGGTAACATTTATATATATAGAGATACATTACGTAAAAAAAACGATATAAACGGACAAAAATTGAAACATCGTATTTTATACGTTTATATGCGTACGGGTTTTAACACGTACGCATATTTACATATATTCACGTACGTTTTACGTACGTATTTTTAACGTATATATGCGTACGGATTTTAACCCATACGCATATTTACGTATCTTCACGTACGTTTTACGTACGTATTTTATACGTATATATGTGTACGGGTTAAAACTCCTACGCATATTTACGTATCTTCACGTATGTATGTACGTATATATGTGTACGTATGTATATACGTATATATATACCTACTTACATTTACGTAAAAAAGCGATATAAATTGCGGTAACGTATATATGTATATAGAGAGATGCATAACGTAAAAAAAAGCGATATAAATTGCGGTAACGTATATATATATATATATATAGATGCATAACGTAAAAAAAAAGCGATATAAATTGCGGTAACGTATATATATATATATCTATATATATATATATATGCATAACGTAAAAAAAAGCGATATAAATTGCAGTTATATATATATATACATTACATAAAAAAAGCGATATAAACGGTACAAAAAGTTGAAACTTCGTATTTTAACGTATATATGCGTACGGGTTTTAACCGCCACTTCGAAGATACACACAAACATCATTGCTTTGACATGATTTCATGTTTTGTGATGGTTGATTGTGTTTAATGGGTTAAAGGTTGTGAGAGTAGAATAAATGAGAAGAGAAATGAAAGGGAATGTGTGAAAAATTATGAAATAGGCAGTTGGTATTTATAGTGAAATTGGTATTAAAAAAAAATTAAAAATACTTAAAGCATGGATCACCCCCGGGGGCGATCCGATGACGTGGCTTGCCCCAAGTGGAAAAAAAGAAATTTAAAAAAAAAAATTCTAAGAAAAAGGCCGGATCGCCCCCCATCAGTACGGATTGCCCCCGGGAGCGATCCATGTGGTTAGTTTTGTAAAACCCTTAAAAACTGATTATTTTGTGTAAGAGGGTTGTATAAAGTGGTTAGTTTTGTCATTTTCCCTTGAATATTTTCACATGTTTTCTTGATAAATTGTATGCATGATCATATTATTGACTATTCATTAGTTTACAATTATAATAGCTCATTTTCTATATGATTTGTCAAAAATGTAGTAGTTTTAGCTGTTTTATTAACTATATGAATTTTAGTTCAAACTAGTAGTCATTTTCTTCATTCCTCCCGACCTCCATTCCAAAGTTATATACAAATTTCAACTTTTGTGCATACTTGTGTCGTCTTTAGCGTCGAAACTGTTATGATTCAGTCTGTTTTGAAGATAAAAAAAACTTTGTTAAGGGAATTCCTTTACAAGAATCTAAATTACAGGAAAACAAAAATGAGAAGATGTCATTTATATGTTGCTAGGATTTTAATATATCTAATACTTGAATTCCGAAACCGTATGAAGAAACCCACCTTTTAAAGAACGTAAAAGTCAAATAACTCTTGATGTTCTTATGGGGTGGGGTAATTGCACTCTTATATATTGTTAAATGCGCCTCTACCTACTAATTTCCTCCTCACATACATCAATGCATGATTTGACTTGTGCGTATAGCATTACCCCTTTTTTATTGACGAATAAAGATGGGCTAAATGCACATCCTTACACACACACACACATATCAACTTTAGGACATCTTTTTTACATTTTCAACTTATAATTTGATCTGGTTTTGATATAAATATGTGTAAATATATCAACATACCATCTTATCTATCAATCTTTTTTATGGGAATCCCTGAAATGAAACCCAGTTGTAGGATGTTTCTGTGACCATTTGAAATCCTATTTTGTGATATTTTGTGGTTATTTTGATGTTGGACAGATGTTCTACAAACAGGCAAAGAAAACAAACCAATGCTGTACAATACTGTAAACAGAAGATGGTTATGATTGGATTATATATGTTCTATTTTCATACTTTTTCTGTTGCTTCTTGGGATTGAATGTAAAATCTTTGATACCCATGTGATATATGTTTGATACAATTTGTAACCTATGTTGGATTCATGTATAAAAATTAAAATACATCCCTTTTTTAATTATATATGCGTATATGAAATAAGTTGTTAACGTCTTTATGTATGTATATTTTCATAGACTTGGAATCGTATAAAAATAAGAGTTATGGTGAGAACATGTATATTCATTGATGCTTTCATCAAGTATATGCATCAATGTGTATATATCTATATATATATAGAGGCACGTTCAAATGAAAACCGTGTATTTCTTAGAAACCGTGTAAATTAATTTCGATCAATAGAAAATTTTCATTCTTTTCTAATTAAATTTAATCATTAAGGGTATTTTGGCCATTTACATTGTTTTCTATTAAATATGGAAGTTATTAATAAATCTTAATTAAGGCAACATAATAAAGGAAATTTTATAAATGATAACGTTTAAATATTTAACTATTTTATAATATTAAAAATTTGAACTTGTTATATTGTGTGGCGATTGAATATTTTTTCAGAATCATGAAGATTGTAGGGTGTTAGAGCAATGGATCCATCACATCAATATTAAAATAAAAATTAATGTTCATGAAACAGGTTTCATAATGATGAAAATGGTGCATGGCGTAATTGAACAATGAGTACTGAACTGGTTTCATGGTGAAACCCGTTTCATAAATGGTGAAGACGGTCCATAGAGTAAGCGAAATGGATTATGAAACGGGTGCCTGATGTAAGCGGTACGTCATGAAATAATTGCATGACGATACGGATGCATGATGAAATCGGTGTGTCATTAAAATAATTGCATAACGAATAGGGTGCATGATTATATGGGTGTTTGAAAAAAGTGAAACCATTTTAGAAAATATAATAAAAGCCTGATTCATTAAAGAAAAGTGAATCGACTTCATTATCAGTATTGTGAAATGACAAATGACTCATCAAACTATGAGGGCCGATGAAATGGGTGATTGAAGACAGTGAAACTATTTCATGTTTTATAAGAAAATTTTATGTAATTAATAAACAATGAAACAATTTCATTATCTAAATGTAACGGATTCATCTATCAGTAAAATGAAAATTACAAAATATGATCAGGATTACGTTGATTAGTGTGTTGATGAAATTGTGAAACCATTTCGTTCATATAATCTAATTCAGTTTTTTCTTTATTTCTATTCAAACGATTCATTATATAGAATTGAATATGGTGTGTTTTATTTATATTTATGATATATTTTATTGATGGATGTTATTTTAGGAGGTTAGAGATGTATTTGGTTTACCATTTTGCCCTTGTTGCTGTTATAAAATAAAAAATTTAATATATATATTTTTTAATTTCTTAAAATAAACTAAACTAATTTTGACCATTAATCAAGAAAATAGATGGATGAGATTGGTTTACATGGTTTACACAAATGGGAGCGGTTTTCATTTGATCACTCATCTCTCTCTCTCTCTCTCTCTATATATATATATATATATACACTTGCATAGATGGTAGATTAATGAGTATATTGTTGATATAATTGGAATAGTTGATTTCGTTTACCAAATTTCACTCATACGTTTAGTTCATTCTTTGAGTTTTATTAAGGAATTCGAATTTTACATATGGTGGGATGTAGATTTATTGGGTTCTAGTAAGGAATTCCAATTCCTATATACCATCTTTTAAGAAGAAGAAAAAAAACTATGACGGATGCCACCACACCGCAACCACTCTTGTTGCCACAATCGTCTTTACCCCCACCACTACCATCAACATCTCTACTACCTCCACTAGTCACTACAATCATCACCACGACCATTGCTACCACTACCAATACCATCGACACCAATACTGCCTCTACTCCACCACCACTATTATATTCAATCAAATACACAAAATCAATTTTTTTAACAAATTCTATTTTAATTCATACCAACAAAACGTAGGATCAAACATGATTATATCTCATTTCGACCAAATGTATGATCAAACATGATTAAATTTCTTTCAAATTCCTTTGACAGATTTCAATTCCAACAATTTCATTTTAGGAACCAAACCACACCTTATATTTAACCCTACATTCAATTACATTAATTTATTAAATCGATGATTTGACTACCAAATACAATTACCAATTTGAAAAAGTTGTATAAAACTAATTTAGACATGTTACATTTATATAATATTATATATATATATATATATATATATTTGTGATTAACCTGAATATCCAACCAGTTATGCGAGTCGACTAATTCCAGGACGACCACCTGCTTTGCAGATAGCCTGGAGTCACCACATTTGAACCTCCGTAACCACAAGGGGATTTTTTTTATTTTTCTTTGGATTTGAACCTAGAACTTCCTGGTACTTTTAACCTTTAAAACCAAATTCAAACCAATCAAACACCATCTTGCGATTTGTGTTTTATATTTTGCACCACAGTATTTGTGGTATGTGAATGAGGAGTATGTACGTATAACAACCCCTAACACAACTTCCAACCTACACCTTTGTAAAACATTAAAATATGGACTTGTATACATTCAAACACAAAACTCTAAAACTATTTATACATATTTTTTAAACAGTATGAAAAGAGAAATTGATTCAAATAATTATTTCATCCATTTAAATTGGTATTTTAGCTATTTATCTCCCCCAAATGTCACTACATCTGCAGTATATACATCACAATATTGCGAACTTGGCTAAAAGACAAAAAAAAATTCAAATTCCATCAATTCAACAAGTGGCACTGTTGCAGTTGCGAACCTGCACTGAATCTGATAATTTTTTTGTGTTTTAGCTAGGTCTGCAATATTACAGATGTGGATATGATGACATTTGATTAACCTGGAAGAGAAATATGATAACTACAAATATTCATAATAAAAAGAAAGAATACAACTTCAAAATTGCTTTTCCCATCGAATATAAATATTCAAAATATAAAATAAAAAATAATTTAATTAAAATAGTGGTCAATGGTAGGTGTAAAAAGAAACAACAAAAAGACCTGAAAATTGGATTTTAACCTTTAATGGTTATTCAAGGAATATATAATCAGTTGAAAATTATGGTCAAATAATTGTGCATGAAAATTCACTCTTCTACACCTTTCTTCTTGACTAAATTATAACATATTATTTTTAATATCATATCTATACTGTATTATAAAGTATTTGACAAAAACTTTTAAAAACCATTTTTTATATATAAAATACTGTTTAATAATAAAATAATTTATTTTTGGTTTAATAATATAACATTTTATAAAGATATTAATTAAGTATTCTAGTAAAATTCAATGATTATCCTGATTATATTTTAGATTTTTTATATTTAAAATGCAATGTTGATCATGTATTTAATTTGTTTATCTGCAGTTAGTTACACGAATTAAGAAATAAAGCTTTAATAAATTGTACTTATGCACAATCTACTTGTAATCTTGAGTTTTAAGTAACACGCAAACAATACTTTATGCATAAAAAGTGATTTTTAAGAGTTTTTGTCAAATATTTTATAATATAGTATAGATAATGTTTGATTAGAGATATTAAACAGTCATTAATAAGATTGAATATATACCTCAAAAGTCTAAATTTTCATTTGTTATCAATATTATTTTCATTCTCATACATAAACCAAACAGTCCCTGAGGGGTTGGAAGATGGTTCTCTAAAACAAAAATCAAACACGACATTTTTAATTTTATGTCGTTAGGGTTGGATTCCCGTAAAAATGAGAGTTAAAGTGAAAAGCGTAAGAAGTGATCTCCACCTTTGAATGCACATTAGGATGAGATGCACCGGATCAATCCGATATTAAATATGATCAATGGTTCAGATCTCTTTTTACACTTCTCATTTTAACTCTCATTCTCACACGACCCATAAAAATGTTTAGATTTTCAAAACATATGGAATTTGTGGGACTTTTAAAATAGAATATAAATATAAGTTCTGATTTAGGGGGTGTTTAGAATTGTTTATTTGAAATAACTTATGTTTTTCTACAAAAGCATTTATCAACTTATTATAAGTCGGAAGGGTTTAACTTCTTCAAAAACTCCTTATTACCGGTTTGACACCGGTATAAGTTGTTTATCCAAACATTCAAAAATGTTTATTACCAGTACTACACCGGAATAAATCAGTAAGTTGTTTTAGTTCACCATATACACGTATTCAAACCACGTTTTGATTAAAATTTGCATCACTCTGTAATTTCTAGAATTAGTTTTTGTAAATAATAATAAAAAATTTATAAAGTAGGTTTAAAACTTACCAAAACTAAAAAGATTGTAAAAACGAAACTAAAGATATTACTTTTTGATAAAAAATAATAATGATAAATTATAACGTTAATTAGGGGTGCTTAAAAAACCGACTAACTCGACCAACCCGGCGAACTCAACCTGCAAAAACCCGAAGAAAAAAAAATTAACCTGAGGTAACTTAACACATACTTGATACAAAATTAGGTCAAATAGCATCTATTGGATTGGAATTGGATTAAGGTAATTTGAATCCAACCCGACTTAACCAATGTCTTTCTATATACTAGAAGGGTACTCGCGTAATGCAGCGAGACCAATCTTCATTTTAATGTTTAGTTTTTATTCTTCTCTATCGATATAATACGATTTTATGTGGTTTTGAGAAAACAATAATGTTTTTATTTTTAAATTAAATATAAATTTGAATATAGCATAAAAATTTGAAAAAGATAAATCGATATTAGTATCAAATTAACTATTTAGTATTCTCATTTTTTTATGTAACTTCTTTAATTCAATTTTTTTATTATACGTTAATTTATATTTAATAACAAAGTAATTTATTTTTGGTTTAATAATATAATTTTTTATAAAGATAATAATTAAGTATTTTGTTAAAACTCAATGATTATTCTAATTATATTTTAGATTTTCTATATTTAAAATGAGATGTATTTAATTATATTTATCTGCAGTTAGTTATGCAAATTCAAACATGGAGTTTTAATATGTTGTATTTACGCACAATTTACTTGTAATCTTGAATTTTAAGTAATATGCATCAATAAACAATAC